ACCATGGACGGTCAAGTTGACATCGACGACATTGTGGATCACAGGGATATGCCTGTTCCAAAGCCGCTGGGCCGAGGAAGACCTCCCAAGCCCAAAAGAGAGTACCGCGTCAGATTCAGGCACCACACGGATCCAGAAGAAGATCGTTGGTTTACCAGGGAGGAACTGATTGACACAGCTCCTCAGGTGGTGGCAGACTATGAGAAGAAACTGAAAGGGAAGGCGCCTGCGAAGTAAGCATCTCAGCGGACTTTCGAAGCTAAGGGGGATGGAATGTGAGGATTGAGCCCTCAAGTAGGGGCCTTGCCATGATGTACATGTTCTGGGATAAGGCCCCAGCAAGCCTAGTGCCCTCCCTAAGTGAAGGCGGGCCAGCAAATCGACAAGAGCCCTCTGTGCAACATTTCACGAAGTGGGGTTCATACAGTTGCAGCACGCCAGTTGGTTGGAGTGCACCGAGTCTCGGATTTCAGCAAATGCTGAAAGCCCAGGGCCTCTGAGTTGGTTAGGCCCTGGGCATCTGAACGTGAGGCCGACAATGCATGCTGGGAAGAGAGGCCGAAAATGCCAAAGGGAAATCGGCCCACTGTCTGAATCTGGCCGCAGGCCTTGATGAAGGAATCGCAACTGCCTTACCCCGGGGCCCAACTGTATCGAGTTGGCTTCAGCCTCTGGGCCCCGGACACAGGCTGAAGGGAGGCCGCCCACACACTGCACTGGCATATAGGCAAGCAGGGCGAGGCAGCGGGGATCTTGGCCAATTCTGGCATATGCGGGCACGCTGCACAGATGCAAGTGTGCTGCGCTAATGCAGAGCAGCGCTGCGCTAAGAAGAAGCAGGGCAGCGCTAGGCGGTAGGGCGCTGCCTGCTTGCAGAGCACTGGCGGCCATAGCCGGGCCGCAAGAGGGTGCAGGGGAGGTGAGGGCGAAGGTGGTACTTCGGAGGTGAAGGGCRCTGTGTGGGTAACAAGGKAGAKTGTGGGGAAGATGACACGTACCTGGTGATGGTGGAGGTCTGCATTGGTGTTGACATCATCACTCGYTGRTAGTCAAGTTGTCTGGTTGCTGTTCATTGCTGTAGTTGTAGGATARGCTGTAGAGTAGATAGGGCGCCTGGCGCCATTCACAAGWGAGAGCTACATTTGGGTTATGCTGTTGGTGTTGCCCTGGTGGGCATGGACATTGACTCACGATTCTTCTGTATCATTCTCAATGGGATGGTTACTCGGTTCCATGTGCTATCTGCTTTGGCTTTGAATACTTGGACTTCAGTGTGATTTTGCATTCCGGATTTCTGTGCTTCGTCCATACTCATGTTCCTTGCAGTATGGTTGGGGACTGGCGCATTCTTCCTGTGTGAGCGCCAGACCCCTTCACACCATGGGGAGAGATGGTTAATGGAAGGCCCAAAATTCGGGGTTTTTCGCCCCATCACCGCAAACAATGTCCTCATACAAACATAAAAAAATCAAACAAGCAAAAGAAAAAGAAAAAAAAAAATCTCAAAAACACTATAAAACCCTATTCGGAGTAGCTTTCGGAGTTCGCCAAATGATTCTCCTAATTCGGTGTTTTTGCCGACTTTTTTGTTACTGGTCCAAATACGTTGAAACTGAATACAGATATACCCTAAAGCATATAGATATCACACACAAAAAGAAACAAGAAAAAAATAAAAAACTCAGAGAAATATGACGGTTTCGGTGAAAAATTCGACGAAAATGACACCACCTATTAACCATTAGTGACCATGGGACGATGATGATGTATGTTTGGGCTGCATTGCAACATTGATTGTTCGGATCATTGGTATCTAAGTCTTCTGCTACACCGTTATGGTATGCAATTGTTTGGTATCGGAGCGGACCTCTCAATCAGAGGACCCGCTCAATCAAGTAGCCAGCTTGCTTGATCTATTAATTGTTTATTAGTAAATCAAGTAGGACTTCGTCAAATCTCTGAATTTTTTTTCTCGCAAAAAGTATCTGAAAATTTCTGATAATAGCATTTCATTTGATCTGAAAATTCGTGATAATAGCATTTCGTTTTATCTGAAAATTCCTGATAATAGCATTTCGTTTTATCTGAAAATTTCTGGTATTAGCATTTCTGAAACGGTTTTCACCTTTGCAGAGGCAGATGCAGATCCCGGGGTTCTGAAATCGGTTTCAGATTCCCCCATCCAACCAGTATCGAGTTGACCCTTGAGTGTTTGAACCCGTGACCTGTGTTTCGTGAGTTGTTGTTTGTCTGTCGTAGGACTGTGTGGACATAGGGATTCGATCTGTAGACCTGTCGAGTAGAGGTCTTAGAGAGTTCCAGAAGTCGTAGCTGTAGATGTCCTGAAGGGTCAAAGTCGTAGCTGCTACAGTCCTGAGAGGTCAAGGTCGTAGCTGCTACAGTCCCGAAAGGCCAAGTCCACAGACTTCCGGTAGGTCCGGAAGTGGCCTTTCGCAGCTTGCTCACGTTTTAGACTGAGGCAAGTGGGCAAGTAGGCAAGTGGTGGACCAACTGCAGTACGTTCGCAGTACGATAGCGGTAGGTTAGCAGTGCGTCCCCATGCAGTCAGTGGTACGGTCCAGTCAGTCCCAATCCAGTCCAGCAAGTACCATGGGGGACTGTGTGTACCATGGGCCGACGGAAAGGGGCAGACCAACGAGTTACAGAAGTATAAATCAAGAGGCAGCAGCGCACAACCATTCATTCATTCCTGCAGAAGCCATGCGGAAGCGCTGCCACGGTGACTTGTGCGAGGTGGTCTGCAGAGGAGCCTGAAGTCGAAGTGGGCTAGAGGGAGTTAGTGCGCAGCCATAGCTGCTTGTAGAGTAGAGTTAGCTGGCGGCCATAGCTGCCATAGTTAGTAATAGGTGTGCATTCGTGTGTGTGCAGAGTGTGTGCGTGGGCCACCCAGGGTGATCCGGAGTTGAAGTGTGAAGCGAACAGTGGTGTTGGACGGTGACAAGAGTTGCGATGTGTGGGTGCTGATGCATCATAGCCTGTTGAAGCGAGCTTGCATCTGAACTGTGTCTTGGTTTCCATATCTTCGAGCTTTGAGTTGGGTGCTATGCGCCAGTGTGATTCACCATCTGTTTGTATGCATGTGAAGTGACGAAGTATACGAGTCCGATTGCACTGGTATCGGAGCTGGTACCCGCTACTCCATGCGCATCGTCGTTGTAGCAGGAGAGAGACGCATGGGCACCATAGCTGAAGTGCGCCACCTTTGAAGAAGAAGTCCGCCATAGCTGCGCTGCGGAAGAAGCTGACGCGTACCTGCACAAGAGGACAACGACGTAGAGAGAGAGAGAGAGAGAGAGAGAGAGAGAGAGAGAGAGAGAGAGAGAGAGAGAGAGAGAGAGAGAGAGAGAGAGAGAGAGGGGGGGGGGCTGAGCGATACAAGATTGGTTACCACGTACCTGCGCTGAAGATCGTTGTGCGGTCCAAGAGAAAGAAGCGGTTGTGCGGTCCAAGAGAAAGAAGCGGCCATAGCCGCAGAGCTCAGAACACGGAGAAGAAAGAGAGGTGAAGCATAGACGAAGGAGGAGACATAGACGAGGACGGAGGAAGGAGGGATAAAGAAGGNAGAGAGAGAGAGAGAGAGAGAGAGAGAGAGAGAGAGAGAGAGAGAGAGAGAGAGAGAGAGAGAGAGAGGCTGAGCAGTACAAGATTGGTTACCACGTACCTGCGCTGAAGATAGCCATAGCCGAGGGTGGGGCTATGATCGTTGTGAGAGAGAGGGGTTGAGATCGTTGTGCGGTCCAAGAGAAAGTTGCGGCCATAGCCGCGGAGCTCGGAACACGAAGAAGAAAGAGAGGTGAAGCATAGACGAAGGAGGAGACATAGACGAGGAAGGAGGAAGGAGGGATAACGAAGGTGAAGACAGACATAACCGAGGGTGATCAAAAAAAAAAAAAAAAGTAAATACGGCGAGGAAGAAGGAAGGTGAAAGGAGGAGGAAGAAAGAAGAGGTTGGCGAGGAAGAAGGTGCCGGCAGCCATAGCCGACAGAGGGTTGACCGGGCGTTGACCAAGGCATTGACCGGAGCTGCTGACCGCAACTCTGACCAAGCTGGAGTTGGTATAATCTCGCCAAGCCCTTAGCCTATCCCCTCGCCCTATGGATGTGCACTCACCCTATGGTACTTGCTGAGTCTGAGTCTATTTGTCTCTTCTTTTTACATCGAGTCTCTTCTGTCCAGGTGATAGGACTCCGTGTATGAAGGATAGGGCCTCGTTGACCAAACCCCTGCCGGGCTGAGTAGGGCTAAAGGCTGTGTTTGACGACTCGACTGTCCCAGAGGACACGAACCCTCCCAAGGACCGGTACTGACCGGCGGGCTGCTCGGTGTGGCACGGTAGGCCCGAAATCTGAGTTGTGGGCTGCACAACAGGCCGTCTACGTTTTGAGAGAACCTGCTGATCGCGTCGTCCTGTCTACGACGTTAAAGAATTCTTGAGGAGTTACGGGGGATCTCCTTAAATGCCTCCTGATCAGCAACAAGTTCTGCAGTGACGGCTGTAGTTTAGAGTCTAGGCTAGTGCCCCTAGTTGACAGGGTCTGAACCGGAGTGAAAGCCAGGTGGGTTTGACCGCAGGTGCTGGGCATCTGGGTCTGTGGTTGCGAAAGCTTCCATCGGCCGTGGTAATCTGGCTGGAACGAAGGGTGAGATTCTGTAGTCCATAGAGAGTCAGTCAGTCTTAAGTTAAGTAGGGGGGACGTCTAAGTGGTGAGGAGTGGAACCGTTACTTGGTTGTGCATCTATCACCATGGTTGACACGCGTACCGGAAAGAGCACTTCCCCTTATAGAGTCGAAGAGGAGGCAAAGGCCGCCGCCATCCTCGAAGAGAGAAGAGAGAAGAAGGAGGCCAAGAAGAAGGCCTTGATCGAGGAACAAGTGGCGAAGTTGAGAAAGATTGAGGAGGACATGGCCAGAGAGAAGGAGAGGCTAAAGAAATAAGAGGAAGAGAAGTTAAAGGCGGTGGACGAGGAGGATGAACAGGACATACGACTGGAAAGAAGAAGAAGGGAGCAAAGAGGGGAATCCAGTGGTACACAAGCTGATCCGTTGGAGAAGAAGATTTCAGAGTGGGTGGCCAATTTGTCCCTGGGAGAAGCCGAGGAAGCGATAATGTATGTGCCCAAGGAAGAACAAGAGGCGGCTATGAAGGAGTGGGAGGCAGAAGAGGACCCACTCAAGCGACAAGTCATAGAAGATGATAAGAGGATGGAGTGGAAGTTCCGCCTAACAAGAGAAAGGAAAGCGAGAATGGAAGCAGTGAGTCAGGCGGCAAAAGAGTTGGAGGAGGTGAAAAAGCAGAGAGAGCTGATGGCGGCGAAGGAGGACCTGTTAGGGAAGATGGAAATTATGGCGAGGAATATAGAGCGCCTGACGCAGGCCCAGGAAGAGCACTATCAGTTCTCTAGAAGTCAGGATATCGCCCTGCGTTCAATACGGCTGGGGTTCAGGGAGTTTGCACGGGAATTAGTGGGCGTGGTAGGCTTAGAGGTAAAAGCTCGCCTGGAGAACACGGAGCGTTTTTGCACAGGCGCCATAGAGGGGGAAGAAGTACGCCCTCGTAGAGAGCCTGTCAAAGTCAAGTTTCCCGATTCCTACAGTGGGAAGAGGGAGGAGAACTTTGACAACTGGCAGGCCAATGTCAAGACCTATGTGCACTTGCAAATGGTCTCTCCAGATGAGCACGTTTTAATAGCCATCCACGCCCTGAAAGAGGAAGCCGCCAGTTTTGCTCGTTCCATGGTCCGTGCCGCAAATTGCAACGACGATTTGGTTGCTTATTTTGCCTTCACTCCCCTCAGCGACTTTCTTAAGTTGCTGAGAGAACGGTTTGCAGACGTGACCCGTAGTGTCAAGGCGTTTGATAAACTGTAAACCATCCACTCCTGCCAGTGGAAGAGTGCTAGGGCCCTTAAGGGGGTAATGGATGAGTTAGTTGCCGTCCCTTACCATGGGGTCACTGAGACCCAACTGGTCAATCTCTTCTACCGCGCTATGCCTGAACAGTTACGCGGACACTTCTTTGAAAAGAGTCAGCAACCTACCATGACCTACGACGCTTTGAGCAGGGAAGTGGTAGCGTTTGAGGCAAGGTCCGCGTCAGTTTCCACTTTCTGGCACAAGGACATTGACAAGGGAAAAAAGTGGAAGGGTCACACTATCTCTGGACAGGTTAAGACCAAGGATCGTTTGATCCTTACGTGAGATGAGGGTAGTGTCGACGAGGTCCCCTACGAGCAGATAGAGTGGGGCCTAGATGCGGAGCAAGAGGACAGTGGCGCCAGTCAGGGGAGGACTTACGCTACTGTCGTGTTTGGAGGGAGGCAAGGAAGAGGAGGAGGCCAGGGCCAAGGGCGTCGGGCCTCAGGTGGCCGTTCCTAGGGCAATCAGGGGGTTGGCGGTAGAGGAGGAAACTGCCAAGCGGGAGGAAGAGGTCAAGGTCCCCCGCAAAATCGTTGTGGTAACCGTTCACCTAATGGTGGCAATAGGGCACCCTATAGGAGAGGTGGTTGGCACCCAGATCTGCCACAGGGCCGACCTTGGGATGATTTGGGCCTGGACCAACGCGTCTGGCAACAACGTGTGGATCAGAGGCAGTGCGTATTTTGCGGTGACGCTGGCCACATCATTCGATTTTGTCCAAAGTATAGAGAGGCCCGATGGGCTGCCCAACAGGCAAAAGGCAGCCGCCGGTAGGGGTCGCAACTGCCCCTACCATAAGGCCATGTGGGGAAACGAGCGCGAGCCGGCAAGAAACTCCCACACCACATGAGCCTATGGAGAGGTTGCAGGTCGGTGCCCAGATAGCTGTCCAGAGACTGCTTGTGTTAGAGTCTCTCTAGGCACCTCCCTCACAGGCGTGGCCGGCGAGTTGAAGGAGAGAATGCCCGCCTGGGTGAAGATGAAAAAGGAGAGTAAAGGACAGGTAGTGTTAGTAGATGTAGGAGTTTTCAGAAGCAGAGTAGGAGCCCTTATAGATTCAGGGGCTAGCCGTAGTTATATTAGTCGTAGAGCGCTGAGGAAGCTGAGGCTAGGGTTAAAAGTCCAAAAGTTAGAAGACCCCTTTTACTCTGCCTCCTGAAATAACGTACAAGTGGGCCGTGAAGGCACACGGGGATGTGGGCAGCTGCCGCTCAACCACAATCAACGTGGGCAGCCTTGTGCGTAAGAGGCACAGTAAAAGGGGAGCTGCAAGAACAATGAAAGGGGTACCCCAAGGACAACCAAAAAACTGTTGGCGTCTCAAATGCTTTAATATGTTGGACATCTCAAATGCTCTTGTTGTCTGCAATCGGACAAAGACTACTTGATTTTGAATCTATTCATCTGGGTGGAATCGGGGCTGTTGTGGGGAAAATCTATAACACACACACACACACACACACACACACACACACAGAGAGAGAGAGAGAGAGAGAGAGAGAGAGAGAGAGAGAGAGAGAGAGAGAGAGAGGGCGGTCTCAGAGAGAGAGAGCGAGAGAGAGAGAGGGCGCTGTCTCAGAGAGAGA